TTTTAAAAAGAAGACTTTCAGGGAGAGATGAATGAGGGAACAAAAGAAAACAGGCCTCCTTCTTGGTGTCACTTCTTGTGCTTGGGAAGTCGATGCCTCCATCATCAGTCTCAGACAGGCTGCCTTGGCAAGGACAAAGAGAACCAGTGCACTGTGTGCTCTTGCTGTTGGGATAGGTGGTTCTGTGGGTTGGCAGGTAGGATGGGGTGGGGCCGCTGGCCAGGGAAGCTGCAAACAGGCTGCAGATTCCACCTGCAGCTCAAGGAGAGCTGCCCTGACAGCCATCAAGGTTAGGAGGCTGGGGCTCCCCACTACCGCCTGGCAGATGCTTCCCATGCTCTGATCTAGGTGTGGAGGTTTCAAACACAAACTTCACAATTCCTGCTTTTAAGGAGTTCACCGTCACTGGGGGAGGTGGGAACATAATGGATCGTTTCAGTAAGTACCCTGTAGGGTTCATTCTCAGACTCTACTGATCACGTACTTGGTACCAGGCACCGTGCAGCATGCTGGGATCTCAGAGGGACCATGAAGCTTGGGACCTAATGCAGCGGTCGAATGTTGTGGATACTGGGGGAGCGCAAAGGAGGGCATCAAGCTAGACTGGAGAGACCCTGAAAGACTGCACGGGGGAGGCAGCAAGACAGAAGGGGATAGAAAGGGAGCTCCACGTGGAAGAAACAGCATGACCAAATGCATGGGGGCATCAAACATACATACCGCTGGCTGTGTGTAGACGGTTTCTCACAGCTCTGGGACGTTCAGAAATGCCTGGCAAAATGGCCTCCTTTGTCCCAGGGGTTTGTCCTTAGGAATTAACTCAGAGCCTCTCCAGCCTGGGCTGCAACAGCTCCATGATCTCATCTCTTGGGAGGTGATGGGCCCGTCCAGACACAAGTCCTAAAGGTTATGAGGAAAAATATGCAAATGGTAATTCTCCTTTATACATGTCACTCTCATCCAAACGTCCTCCCACTGTAAGTTCCCAGGGATGGACCTTCCTACCATTATTTGCAGCCCCTGCCCATGGCCTGCTCTGAGGAAACCCTGCACGTGGCAGCTGGTTCCTGTGGGGCTCAGAGCTAGCTCAGGTGGCACAGTTGTCTGGACATGGCAGGATTACGGTACAGGGCCACAGCTCCCTTTGTCACTGAGAGAGCACATTGATTAGGGCCACCGTGCACACATTGTCATACTACCTAGCGATCATCTCCTCTGTGCCATCCTTACCCAACACTGTAAGGTCATGCTATGGTCCCCATTCATTGATGAAGTACCTGAACTCGGAGCCCATCAGTAACATGCCCAGGAACTCCCTGACCTCACAGAATGAAGCCAGGGTCATTGCTGCATCTGCCTCTTCTCTTAAGCTTCCCCTTTGTCCTCGGCACTCAGCCTTCAGCTCAGAGGTGAGGTCATGACCCAAAGATCCTCTCCATCTCCAGCTTCGCTTCTCATTGCACTCTCACTCCTCTCTGACAGGACAGCACGGGGTTGTCCATCACCTTCCTCTCCCACGTGGCTCCTGACTTGTTCACTGCTTTACCTGTGGCCCCCCACATAGATCCTAACACACGGAAACAAACAACTCTATACAAATGGTGCTCATGAACGAAGGTGTCTGGCTGCCCTAAGCCCAGCCTTCTCCCTGATACTGGTATCACCATGGCAGTGCAGGTGGCACACCAGGAGCTGGTGAAGCCTCCTGGTGGCTTCAGGCTGACACAAAGGCCCACATATCCAGGAGCTCCTGAATGTCTCACAGGCAAGGACAGGTGATTCCATAGAGTTTCATTTCTACTTCAGCAAAAGGATGCCATCTAATAACGTTCTATGTGACAAACATTTGAGATTTGTAAATGAATAGCACGGATAACTCACGCTGATGACTCAGAGTCACGCTTCCCCGTACAAGTCTGGCCGAGGATGGTGGCACAGCCCTCTCAGACCTCTGGACTCACAGAGCC